TCTAAAAACACCACCATGAGACCACAACACGGAGGCTACAACAGACACACATTTTAGCTTCAGCAGTCACACAAAATCCCATGAACTGACAGCATCAATTATGATATTTTAAGACACCAACACCTGCGCCTCACTGGGACATGTTTTACTTTTTAATGTTTTGGTTGTGTAAATGAATATGGCATACATTTTGGCAAGTGTGTGTTTTTGTATTTTGGAAGTTGAACCTCAGGTGCTACAATAAACTGTGGAGCCAAGATACAGACGTTCAGACCCTGAAGGACATGAAAGTCAAATTAAAGCGTTCAAAAACGTTTGATCACAGTACAGGATTCATTACATCAGACTTCACATCTAGAGTCCTGACCTCTCAACTGTACCTGTTACTATCTCCACCAGATTTATCCATTTACTTGATTTATCTTTACACTCTGAAAATGAATGAATGTTTGGTAGTTATGATCAGAACTGATGTTGGTGAAATAATAACATTTAATTTCATGGCAGGTTTTTGACACCGAGGACATTCGAACCCTTTCAAAATAAGTTGCTAAGATATGACTTCACTTGACAGGATTGAAGGAACTCGTTCTTCTTTCTTGCCCATAGATCCCAAGCGGCTGACTCACCCGATGTTGGTTCCTTCTGGTACGACCCTCTGCCAGCCACAGAGCATCGCGTACTGCACGGACGGCAGCAGGAAGCTTTTAGAGGCCAACTTCAGCATGGTGTCGATTCCCTCCAGTCTCACCTCGGCTCTCTCCAGCTGCAGTCAAACAGAGTCCACATGTTTTTTCACGTAGAGTTCATTATGCACACGTCTTCAGGTCTTTTAGGGGATGAACCTACACAGTGTATGTGTTTATTGTGCTGAAGTTAAGTTCATAAAAGCTCCAAAGGAAGCGCACACAGACGTTTAGGATCAAGTAGACCAAAGTGTAGTTCATACTGTCACAAACTGATTCACTGATTAAAACACTTTTTACAAAGAAGAACAATTAGTTTTTATTAGCTTTAGAAACAGGAAGTCTTCAAAAAAAAATGTGAGTAAATATTTATCAGCCAAATCAAATAGTTTATATTCAACCTTTGTTTCTTTATAATGAATTTAATACTTGTTTATTTACAGGGTTTGTATGAAGGTAATAAAGTAGTTTATGAATATGAGATATGAGTTTATAGATGATTATAATCCCTCCTCTATGGTGGAGGTTGGTTTATGGAGTTTTGTCGGTTACTCTCCTCAGAGTTCATTGTGTTTGTTCGTCCTCTGGAGTTTCAGAGAATAATGAAAACAACATTGAGGATAAAGGTCTTTGTTGGTGCTCAGAGGTCGCATGCCGTCTGTGGTATAAACAAAGCTTAATCTCAATTTCACCAACTTAATGTCGCTCAATGTCTCTGTCCTGGCGTGACGACCCTCTGGTGACTCATCAGAGTGAAAGAGGAAGTCAGTAAATGACATCTGGCGGTCCCCTTCATTTGGTCTTCTACTTTACCACGATGACTCCTTAAGAAGTCAGTGACGCTCACCTGTTTGAGGAGACACTTCCTCATCTTCTCCACGTCCAGCGGCTCCTCCTTCAGAGCGAACTCCACGATGGTGACCATGAGGCTGGACTGAGAGAAGACCCCGTGAACGCTGTGCTTCAGCCAGCGGTACTTCTGGACTTTGGCCACCGTGTTGAGAAGCGGATGCCATTTGTCCTGTTGGAAAGAAACAGAAACAACAACACAGGAATGTCAGACTGGACCGAAGACATTGTGACTGCCAACATACCTCTGCCTGTGATAAAAGATCTTCACATGTGAGAGACAGTTATCTCGTTAGTTATTCTTAAACTAAATGCAAATCAATACCAATCTGCATCCCTTTAAGGACTGGAGATTATATTTAACTGTCCGACAGACCTTTGAGAAGAAGCTGATTTAAGATCATAACACTAAAAATGAACGCATGTATTTTTTGTTACATCCTGTGAAACGTTCCAATAATGAAGCTTCTTTAAAGCACCTTGGATGTCTTGCTGGTGGGTGACTTCCTGTCAGCAGGCGTGGGGCTGATGTGGACATTAAGCTCCTCCCCATTGGTCCCTTCATTCTCCAGCTTTGGCTCTTCTATGTCAGCAGACTCGGACTTCTTAGGCACTAAAACAACAACAACATTCAAAGTGAAGCAGAGCGAATCCCCGTCACGTGTGCTGTAGTTCATGCGATTTTAAATGACCCACCTCTTTTTTTCCTGCGGTCCCGGATGAGTTTCTGGGTGATCCTCCTCCAGCGGGGCTGAGAGCTCAGCAGCTTCAGTTTGGACACGATGGAGAGGTCGTTGCTCACCGCCGGACGCAGCTCGTTGAACAGGAAGCGCAGACGCTCGATGACGGGGGCACACACCTCCTTGTAGGAGCGACCTTGTTCCTGATGAGTCTGAAGAAAACACGTCATTAAACGCTCATGTTTACTCTTTGTTTTCTCCTCCATGTCTCAAGTTACACCTGCATGACATTAGTCTCAGAGTCTTTTATTATCAGGGACGGGTTATCGATACTAGAACTCTTATTGATTCTGCTCATCGGATCAGTTCCTTATCGGTTCTTTTTGATTTTATTGAGAGAAAAAAAGATAATTCATTAAGAAAATAATCCACATGTCTTTATTATTCTTGTATGTAAACAAATAGTCTTTGTTGAGCAGCAACACAAGAAGTTCTAACGTCTCTAAAACACATTCTCCGCTCAACAGTCCCTCGTCATGGTACACAAGCTATAAGCAGGAATCCTACCTTGATTAAAGAACACTTGGCCTGGTAGACCATGCGGCACACGTCAATCACAGATTTAGGGAGGGACCTCTGCTTCCCTTGGTCCACACCTAAGGCACACTGACTGACAAGTGAGAGGGCAATGTGGCCTGTGACAGGAAGAGAGAGAGAGAAGGGTAAATCAATTCAGATCAGAGAATATTAAAAGAGTTGGAGGATGAGGAGGTGAAGAAAGGAAAGATTCCAATGCTTCGTCTGACGACGGAGGCACTGAGAGACAAGTGAGAAAGAAAGTATTCAGGTGATCCATTTAATAAGTCTGATTGAAGGTGTTCTCTCTCTCCTGTGTTCATGACTCAACAGGTGAAAAGGATCCTTTATTTTAAGGTCCTTTCAATAAATCATTTCATACGTCCTCGTGTTTTAAATAGAACTAAAAGCATTCACGTTTCCTTCCAGTTTTACTTTCTCAGCCTGAAGGTTATGTAAATTAAAACTTACCTGAAAAGAAAACACGAATGCTTTTAGTCTAATTTAAAACATGAGGTGGTGGTGCACTTCTCCCTCTAGGGGCAGAAATGTGTATTACAACAACAAACGTGAAGATCATCTGACAAAACCTCAGGAACAAACTCCTGCCTCTCAGTGCTTCAACTGGTAACAATTAATAAATAAATAAAAACATGTAAAAAGCAAAGTGAGCCAGAAGTATAGGTCATAGGTCACCGAGGTCCTGATGTTTGAGCAGGCAGCAGAGCAGCAGGCGGCCGACTTCCTCCACAGGGTGTTCGGGGGGGAAGGTGATGGGCGTGATGAGATGGTACTGCTTACAGCAGCGCTCGATTTGGCACAGGAAGTCCTACGACAAAAACAAGAAGATCAAGTGAGTGAATAGAACCTTCAGCTTCATGGCTGCTGGGGGTCTATTCTGTTTGGTCTCGAGTCAAAGACGATGTTCACATGCACAGTAATATCCCACTATTATTCATACACCTATGACAATATTCTGAATTTGACATGCTTCATGTAAACATCATATTGCGTTTGTATATTCTGAATGAGTTCTTGGATCACGTTGAGAGTCAAACATGTGTGATGTGTTGATATTGTTCATGTCTCCAGCTTATTCACTCTACGAGTCTCATAGAGGGTTCTACTGCAGTTTGTGATGTCGTGCATTGAGGTAAAAAGAAAATCTCGGAAGAACAGTTTTACAAAACGGGAGCAACGTGCCCGCAGCTGCAGAATGAGGGAACATTTGAAATACTTACAGCAGGTTTGTAAAGGGAGCGTTTGATGCTAATGGAAGTGTGCACTGCTGCACGTAAACTGGAATATTCATCTTTATTAACCATGCAAACAGTCGAGTAGGAATTCTGCTAGAAACGTAATATTTTGTGCACGTAAACGCTGTTGTCTGTACCTTCACAGTGTGGTCCTGAGTGTTGTTGTCAGCAATAGCCTGCAGGAAAGGCTGTGCGTGGTCGCTGAGGGTTATTCTCCGGGAGTAGAGTTTGGCCTTTTCCGGGGTGGTGCTACCCAGAGAGCTGCAGTGGTCTTCGTCCTTCTCTTCGTTGTAGTTGTAGTGGATCTGACTGGTCTGCAGGCCGCCAGAGAAAATAGACGACTGGAGCCATTCTGTGCAAAAGAAAAAATAAACACTGTTTAAAATTGAAATTGAAAGAGTTTATTTCAAACCAAGTTGCTTTAAAATCCTTGAACCCACTGGCACATTCGATCTCCATGGGGGACAGCGGGGTGCTCTTGGCGAGGTAGGAGGCGTGGAGGCCCAGCAGCAGCCCCAAGTTCCTCTCCGTGTCGATGAGCGGGGACGAGAGGCTGCTCAGGTCCGGAGTGGTGACCGTCTCCTGGTTCGGCTGTTTATGGTAAAAACACCACAACGTCAGACACCGGAACCACTTATGAAGAATTAAAAGTCATGTTAGAAACACTGGGTCGTTCTCAATTCACCATTTTGTGCCTCCTCGATTCCTTCAAGGGGCCGGGGAGCTATGAGCGAGGAAACAGTGTTTCCATTGAGATTCTGTGTTTCCAGGCGTATAAAGAGGAGTGACACACGGCTGGACTCTAATGTTACACATCCTTTTTGTTTTCACAAGTATTTATTTAAGACGATCAAACTTTCTGTCCTCAGTTTGTGTCGCTCCTCGTCAGACTCTGTTCAGCTGATACTAATGTTTTATATTATTATAATCCTGACATGTTTACAAGTGAAAACATATCAATCAGAACATTCAGCTCATATTAACTGTATTTCATGTTGTCATTTAGAAAGACAGGACTGTGTTTGTGTGAATATCATATCATACATGTCACTCTTTGTTATATTGTATTTTTCATACAAACATTTGTAGTGCTTCACACAATAAAATATATAAAGCTGATAATATGTGTGTGTGTTAAATAAAAGAATGTGTGACATCCGATCGTTCTCGTCACATGTCAAGTTTTAAATTGAATTACTAGTAAATATATATTTGTCATGAACAGCGTTATGTTCCTCTGACAGAGATCACAAACACAGAGTTATGACTAAACGATGATCAGCTGATCAGCTGTGACACACGTCACGTTTAACGGACGTCTCTAAAATGTCGGCCCGAGGCGACGACATCTCGTTTGTTTCATGCTCGTCGCCTTAAATCATGAAAATGAGAAGGACCCAGTATGTCGGGACAGTCGGTACCTCCATGTACTGGCCCACGCAGAAGGCCTGCATCGACTCCCTGGTGTCCTCAAACTGCAGAGCGGCTTCCAGAGCGACCACCGGGTCCTCTCCTGCAAACTGGGCTGCAAGAGGAGAGACGTTGTTACAACAAGGACAAAGATGTGTCTCAAATCTTCTCTACGATTGTTGTTCGACCTCACCGAGGATGCTGTTTCCTGCCAGCGACTGGGACTGAGCCTGGAAGTCCTTGATGTCGTACACCTTTCCGTCGATGACGGTCCAGAATCCGCCGTCTTTGTTGTGGTTCTCCAGGTCGGCCTTGCGAATAAGGGAAACCTCCTCGTTGTTCTTGGAACTTTGTCCTGTGAAGAAGCATCCTGCCACAGCAGAAGAAGAGCTAGTTACATTCTACACAGATCTTCACAACAAGTTCAGGGAATTCAGGATTTTAATTATTTCACGTCAGTGACATCGACTTCATTTACTTTCACAAAACATTTCGTCTTTTTGTGCTCATTCCTAAAAAATAATAAATGAACGTTACACTAATATTCCCGTTTACATGCTGCTGTGCATGTTTAACATAAAACAACTTCATGATGCTGATGAGACATGTATGCATATCCAAAAAACCTGTTGATATTCAAGTCCTTCGTGACGTTGAGACATGAATATCTGAATATGAACGGCTGCATGTAAAACAGATGAGTAGGAATAGTGTCTTTCTCGGAATGAGAGCAAAAAACACAATCAGTGTAACTGAGTCAGTGTATTATACCCATGATGCCGGGCCAAGCCAGATCCTCATTATCGTCCCTCTCATGTCCCGGGGCCAGGTGGTTGAACCGGTCCAGGTGCTCCAGGAGTCCGGCCAGGAGAGGGATGGACCCGGTCTCCTGCATCAAACCGGCATCGATGGTGAGGAGGAGGACGATGGACACCACCAACTCAGGCAGCAGCACTCCTGTCAGAGCAGAAACATCCAGAACAGTCTCACCAGTTTGCTTGAAAAAAACAAGCAGTTCACGCTGCACATAAAGTCTCAGCAGAAGAGGGATTACCAGTTAGATCTCCTTCAATAACGCGAGAGACTTCAGCAAAGTGGCGGCGGCCGGTGGAGGCGATACTCGTCGCCACTGGGAGGATGTCTCCGATGTGAGTGCACAGCAGGGAGATGTACTTCTTCAACAGGGAACCAACACCCAGGAGCTCCGGATCTGCAAAGACAACAGATCAGATCCCACATAGAGCTCGTTCTCAATCCATGATCCGTACTGACCCCCCCAGCTAACGGCTAACCAACAGGAGGAGAGCTAGTGACGTTAGCAGCACC